CCTAGGCTGCACTGTCGAGCGCAGATCCACTGAGCGCTCAACACAGACAGCATCGTCAGAAGGAAAGTTGATAAAATAAATTAAAAATGTTGTATTGTTCAATACATATGCGTACCGAACCGAAAGCACTGTATCGAACGGTTCAATATCGATACGAGTATCGTTGCACCCCTAGTAGATATGTCTTCGTGTTTATGCTTTGTGAACATGTGATTCGATAAGACTCCAAAGGTTTAGATCATGACAGCAGTGATGAGTGCAGCTGCTGTCTTAAAAACACTGTTTGTATTCCAGCTGTGTCAGACAGAAATAAATGACACACTTCTTTGCTGCTGTTGTTGAGAAAAAAGGGTTGAATCTTACATCACTTTCTATTTGCACTCAAGCTTTAGGATGTATATTACAGTACGCATGTGATGACACGGCTGCACTACTGCATTCTCTAGAAGACTTCTAACCTCTGCTTTCTAACAGCCTCAGATGTGAAAATACTGAGTATAGTAAACTAGAAGTGGTGCAGAGCTTCACTAGGAGATGACTACCAGGGCGTTAAAACTACATTAAGCTTGATTTGTGCGTTGAATGCTGTGTACCTTCTTCAGCCATGCTTGTGGTCCACTGGTCGAGAGCTCCTCAGAGCTGAGGACCTGGGCTCCAGTTGAACCAGTGAAAAGACCAGGAACTGTGTTGGATTGGGCCCAAGCATCTACCTATTGAAAAAGGACACTTCTATAAAATAAGAGCGTTTAAGCATGTCTTTGTGGGAATGCAGATTTGATTCGGCAGGTTTTATGACAGATCCACAGGCCTCTGGTTACTCTTTTTGATTTTACAGAAGAAACACTGTCACATAAATCATTAAGAATAATTTCATTCATGAAGCATCTACAAAACATCTGCTTCTAAACAGATCAACTGCAGCTGTTGCAGTCAGTATCAAAGTGACAGCTACACCTCACACTCACGACATCTGCACAGATGAGGCTCAATTAACACTTAATTAAAGCCTCATATTTTCCCAAGTTTACACTTTTGTGAACTTGTATAATACGCATAAAATACTATAACACTCAGAATTAGCTGTGAACTCACCAGCTACAACATTATTAAGTATTAATATGTGAGTAATATCTCAGCAGGTCATTTACCATTTTTACCATTTACTAATCAGAAGGCTGGTGCTTCGATCCCCATCTGCTCCAGTCTGCATGTCGAGTATCCTTGGGCGACAAACTGACCCCAAGTTGCTCGACTGTGTGACTGTTGGGTAGAAGCACTTAGGCTACGTTCACTCTGCAGGTCTT